CAAATCTATCAGTAGAAACACCAGAGGAATACTATCGAAGAGCAGTTTTCATTCCATGACTCGATGGATTGATCCAAAACATGATGGGACGTTTCACAAAAAATGATGACATCCTTCCGGTGTTCCAAATATTGTTGCCTGGTTTTACAGATATTGGAGAGTCATCCCAACTTGACAAACTTAACTGTTATCTCTGTGATTTCACCAGCGTGGTTACCAGAGTTGCGACCTATCACAATCACGATCGCCAAACAGTTGATGGTAGTAACGCTTTGTACATTCCTATCAATGTGCTCGTCGAAGCTGACCATCCATCAAGTTGACGAAAGAAGTAAAAAGCAACTGGTGAATGTCGTCTTCTGTTGTGATCCATCACCGATCTGGTCATTCCCGACAATCACGACACTTATCTGTGTTCGTTTTGAAGCAGTTGCTGCTTTGCTTGCTTATTTGAGTGTGTTGGTGAGTGAGCCCAACAGCTTCCGTTTCATGTTGCCTGCTGTGTTTGTGAGCAGCGACCATCACTGGTGATTATTGTTTGCCATAGCTTTAACTCTCAGAGCGTCGATCAAAACGATCTGTCAGCGATAGTCGGTTGATGCGAAGACGAGTGTCACGTGAGTGTCATGATATTTTGCATCACTGGCTGGTTTCAGGTAAAGGTGGAATACGAGCTCTGGTGCCGGACATCCATAAATATTAACAAGAATTTTGAGGCATTTGGGCTGCTTGATAAATGTGACTCGACGTATTTTCCAACAATCAATGTTTTGTTGAAGATTTTGTTGATACTGCCGGTCACTACAGCCAGTGTGGAAAGATCTTTCTCCACACTGAAACGAATTAAAACTAATGGGAAACCAGCGACTTTCGGGCTTGGCTATAATATCAATTAACTGCTTAGAGTAAAGCTAGAAGATTACTTTTGTAATAACCAGGTATAATGTCCAGGATATGGCTCTACGTTTTGTTTAATTTGTTGCTCAGATTTTTGGACAGCAATTTGGAGATCGGCAACTGATTCAAATGAAGTAAAAGAATACATTTCTCATTCACTATTTATTACCTCTTTCAGGCAGCACCCTGATCGGAAGTCAAATTCAAACTTAATCTAATTGCATTAAATATTTGCACTTATATAGCTAACTGGAACAATACAAAATATCACAGGATAACGATCAATTCAAAACAAAACAAAAATACAGTGACGCTAAAACAAAAACTTAAAAACATACAGAATGATGAAGGCAACAATATTCGCTGTTCGTGTTTCGTGTGGATAACATTGCTACCACTGCATCGAGGGATGTTTGTTATTTACCGCCTTCATAAATTTAAATGAATAAGGATCCGGTGCCGGTGATTTTACGATTCAACACCATTAAATCTTAAAATAATTATGTTTTAAAAAATATGTAACAAATTTTTGTCTTTCTTAACAGAATGCAAATCTTGATCATCATTACCAACAGAAAACAATTAAAACTACAAATATTTTCTTGAATTTCATACATTTGTTAAACTTTTCTCATAACTGCGTATTAAAGAGTTTGAAAAATTATTATTTTACATTCTGATGGTTCATTAAAAATTCCGATCAAAGATTAAAACGAATTAACAAAAAAAAATGATGACACATGATTTTGAACGATTTTGGTTAAGGTAAAAAAAAAACAGTGTATCAATCGATGTTCAGTTAGGCGCACATTTTATAAATCATTGAAGTTTTTATGTCATAAAATTAGCTCTCCCCGAAACCAAATGCTGGCTACGGGCCTGCTTATGTTATTAAATCTAGTTCTTTTACCTTCAAATCAAGTTATCAAGAAATCAAGTTATTTTGTATCATAATTTTGTAAGTGTGGAAATAAAAATCTGATTTATACAAAGGGGGGGGGGGGGGCAATTAGAAAGGTAAATAAATTTGGAGGTCATCTATAGTAGAATCACTTTCACAGCAGCACGCAGATAGTGAAACTTCTGAATGTCGGCCACTTCTGGGTTAGAGTGAATAAGCGCGAGGAACGTATCATGAGAACATAGCCAATCTTGGTAATCACCAGTAAATTCAGGCAGAGCTATTGTTGGCAATTTTAGACCATGCAGATCAGAACTAGTGTGAGTGGGGGGATTTAGGGGGAGATTGCTTGGTTGTTTGATAGGTGCAGATAACTTAGATAGCAGACCAGCTTTAATTGCAAAAAAATGATTCAAATTCCTCACTTTGATTCGACGTCTCCATTTCCTCCAGTTCCCTTTGAGTTTCCTCCAGCCCTTGCCACACGATATCCAGATTTTCCAGCCTCAGAAGGACTTGCAGAGCGTCCCGTCCAGCCTCAAATGCATGAAGAAATTGTTCGGCTCGGCTGAGCGACGCAAGCAGTAAGGTTCTCCGGATGTTGAGCTGTTGCTTCCTCCTATCATCGTCCATCTTGTCGGTCATTGTTGCGAGCAGATGGTCAACATCGTAGTACCAGCGATAGGGGCAGAACGTGAACAGGAAGCGGAACGTGGTCTGGGAAAAAAATCCAGATAGCACTGGCGAGAAAGAAGTATCCAACTTGGAAAGGTACTAGCCTGACCAAGACAATGCAAAATCTCGTACTCAGCCAGAAACAGCTTCAAAATAACCCAGAACTGGATGCTCCGTATCGATGGCCCTTTAGCGATCTTCACGATAGATTAGCGATGGGGTTTGTCCTGTATAGCACTCACGAAGCAGCGTGGAATCCGTTGACCGTAATGTCAGGAGTCGTGAAACGCCGAAGTTCACCAGCCGACATGTACGTTTTACCTGCTGCCTAATTAATTAGGTTTTTGAAATTTCGTAGGTGGAACACTTTTGCAGGATCGGTAAGAATAGGAATGAACGTGCTATAGTGAATCCTACGTGATGCTGTTCCTTCTGCTGGGAGATTCGTTGCGGTGATTGTGTCGTATGTGACAATCCTGGCCTGGCTACGCCCAGTCGAAGGTCTGAATTCCCAGAGGATTGCAAGTAGGATTTTTGAATTCTGGTTAAATCTCGGTAGGAGGGCTGAGCTCCAAATTAGTTCACACATTCAGTGAGCCAAAAACGGGGTGATTCAACCAGAAGAAGAATAGGTTCTACTTGAACTTATTATTACTGTCTGGATGATGTCGATGGTGACGGTAAATGAGCCATTCTTTAGGTAAGCTTTGATATGATAGTCATTGGCGTAGCTAATGGGGGTGCCAAGAGGGTCTGGCCCCCTCCAGAATTATCTATTCCCCCCTGGTGTGGTTTTTTAATTCCCCGGTAAGCTTTGCATTGTCAAGTTCGATGTTACTAATATTTTTAAAGTCCATTGTGTTGACTACTTTTCTTATGTTCTGGACTAGTAGAAGCAATTTTGAGAAATAATATTATATCGATATATAATCGATGGCACAATAAGACTTCTTCAGGCTCTACAAATTGGCCATGAGCCCAGGGATTTTTCTTTAACTCATGGGAACTTCATAAAACTTCGAGGACTTCTAAGAAGTTCAGGGAACATCGTAGAAATTGAGGAAACTTATTAGACATTCTGGGAACTTCATAGATCTACAGAAAAATTCGTAGCATCAAGGAACTTGGAAAAGTTCTGAAAACTGCGTAGAAGTGGAAAATTGATTTAAGTTTGAGAAGCTTCGTAGAAGTTAAGGGAACATTATTTTATTTCAGGGAAGCTCATTATTGATCGGGAACCCCTATATAATTTCATGGAACTGTTTTTGAAGCCTCGTGAACCTGGATTAGTTGTGGGAATTAAGTACAAATTCAAGAAATTTCGTTCGTGGAACTTTGCGGAAAATCAACGAGAAACGTAGAAGTACAGCAAACCTTGTAGAAGTTTTGCGAAATTCGTAGCATTTTGAGGAACTTCATATAAGGGGTGTAAGGAATTTTGAAAAAGTTCAGGGAGCTTAGTAGAAGATCATAAAGTAGTTCAATAAACTTCTAATAACTTCAGGGATCCTCGCTTCAGTATAAGGAACTTTGTTGCAGTTTGTCAGAGATCTTAATTCTAAGAAGCTCCATGAACTTCTTGAGGGTTTTGGACTTTGTTAAATTTCAAGAAAGTTTCCAGATGTTCAAGAATATTTGTAGATGATATATGCATTTCCAGAAGTACAAAGATGTTCAGAGATCTTCGTAGCATTAAGAGAGACTGGAAAAATATGGAATTTGGAGTAAATTCAGGGAACTTCGTAGAAGTTGGGGAAGTTTACTAAACCATAAGGGAGTTTTGTAGATGTTCAGGAAACGTTGCATAAGTTACAAGATATTCTTTGAGACATCCTTCCTAGGCAGCAGGAATTATTCAAAAGATCTAAATTTTTTATCTGGTTCGTTTATTTGTAAGGCTCAATCGTGTTAGCTTTACGGAGCCGTTAATTCATTATTCTTTGTAACTTAATTCACTTAACTCTATGTCTAGTAGGAGTCAGGCCGAATATTCGCGCCTGATTTTCTGAAAAATATCAAATGCGCCATAACAAACAATTTTAAAAAGTTTCATGCAAATCGGAGAAGGTCACGTCAGATCGATTTGTCGTTTGGCTTGGAACTACTCATATGGGATTGTTTTTGCCATGTAGCTCGCTATTTGTACAACTCGATGGGCACTTGAAAAAAAAAATGCCGGCGCCGGTGGTGTAGTGGTAAACGTGACTGCTTTCTCGTCCCAATGGGTCTGGGTTCAATCCCAGCCGAGGTCGGTGGGATTTTTCTGAGGCATAAAAATCTCTGGTCAACCGATGTCCGTCGGTGATTGGCACTAGATTGCGGAACAGAGACTGACGTTAAATAAAGTAAAGAAAAAGAAGGGCCCTTAACAATTGCGTTGTAGAGAGTTCACTGTATGACCCCTTGGGATCGAATCGGTTAACTGGGTGTTATTTGTATTTTTAAATTGATATTATATCCTAACACGAATGTCATTAATTTCAAAACGATTGACAGCTCCGTCCTTCAGATCATAAAACAAACCTGATCAGTGATCAGTCTCTTTTGCCCTATACTTGGCCGCAGTAGCAGTGAACTCGTTGCGGTAGTTGCTTCCCTGCTCGCTTACCGTGTTGATCTTCAAATATGGTCCATATAGTCCTGGAAAAATAAAACAAGTTGAGCTCTACCATGAATCTGTTACAACAACCAAGAAAATCGAAAACACTTACGACTCGCTGGTGGCCAGAAGGGAATATCATCGGCACTGGGTACCCCTCTAATTGCAAAGGACGTCCATAGTTTAACCATGATCTTTGCCATTTTGATATCATCTGCGTTCAATGCCCTCACAGGAAATAGATAGTGGAGTTCATCGGCATGTGCGACTGCCCCTTTATGTGGGAATGGGACGGTATATTCAATCTCCGCGTTCTGCGTACTGGCATAGTCGAAACTGTTTAGGTAGACGTTGTCGGGATTCACGCGGGAAAAAGCATGAACTTCCGTCAACACGGGAGCTTTTACTCCATTAGTGCTGCAAACCTGTGGGAAGAGTTCAAGGTGATTAGCATGATGTGAAGCATTTCTCGAATATTGTTCTCACATCAGTCAAGCTGGCCACTAGATCCTTCCAGCGCAGTTGATCGATTTCCCGCTCCAGGAAGTTGCTTCCGATTGCGTATGCCTCCATAGCTCCATCGAGTCTAGTTTGGCCAAACTTCTCATGCAGTGTACGAACGTACAGTAGCAAGTCGTGTGCACTGTTAAATGACTTAGGTAGTGTCGGCTGCATTCGGTAAAGCTCATCCAACAGGAAGAGACCATCCTGTGAAACAGTTCCCGCCATGATGGAAATCTCCTTGTTCGCATATTGATGGTAATGCTTAGGATGTTGAGGGAATAGTCCCGACGGACCTCCCACCACAATGTTCGTTGCTGCTACATACGGAAATCCACGCTTTGCAATAGTTTCGTTTCGATGAGCGAGAAATGCTTCCAGAAGGATTTTGGTGGATGTTCCTTGAAAACACTTCTCAATCCTTGCTTCAGTACAGCCCATACGATTAGCGATGTCAATTGCCCCTTCCACTGGTGAATCAGCTATATGCCTCGGAACCAGCAGCGAACCGGACTGGATGATCGCTTTTCGGAAAGGAGCTAGCGGACGGTTTTGAACCAATGGACTGTGAAGCATTGCCGTAACCGTGGATGCTCCCGCGGATTGACCAAAGATCGTCACCTCGTCACTGTTCCCTCCAAAGTTCCCGATATGCTGCTGAACCCAGTCCAACGAAGCTATCACATCCAGCATTCCGGCATTTCCGGGAATATCTTCGCTCATGGTACTTAGAAATCCGAGCGGTCCCAGCCGGTATTGAATCACAACCAAAACGATGTCCGATTCTAGTAGATAGTCCGGTTTGAACATGTCTGCTCCCCCTGTATAGAACCAACCTCCATGAATGTACACCATCACAGGACGGGTGGCATTCAACTGGAAAAGAAAATTCACGATTATTCACAATTTTCAGCTGAAACTCTCGATTTCGGCTCAAACATTATTAGAATACACCGATAAGGTGAGGCAGTCTTCGTTGTCCACGTTGACATAATCCATAGTAATCTGGGGGCAACGGACGCCCGGTTTCGAAGCATCTTTAGTTCCACTCCAAGGCCCGACATTCACCGTAGGCTTGAATCTCAAACCTTCAATCGGGGATTGCCCGTACGGAATGGCTTGAAACTTGAAGATGGGTCTATTTGTCCATGCCGTATGACCAATCGAGCCCTGAACGTTTCCCAAGCCTTGGATGTTAACTATTGGCGGCGGCAATTGTTGTCCATTGCTGGAAATAACACCGATTGCGAACACTATCACAGTTAATTTGGATAACATTTCAGTTTACTATACGATTAGCGACGAATGACCGAACCGAACAGCATTTGAATGAGGATTGCGGTTCGTTTGATTCAATGCTGTGTGCTATCGCCGAAGAAGACATGAATGCAGGCATTATCAATTTTTGTCAGTTGCCATTGACCCGGTAGATTAGTGAATAATCATTAGCTTTTATTTTTTGTAGGGATTGCAATCGAGTACGGTAGGGTGGATGCACTAGTCATGACAATATGTGCATATGGTAATTGCATTAGCCATAGTGGTAGTAAAATTATGTTTCTTTCTGTTGATTATGATTGTACATGGGGCCTCCCTTAGCTCAGTCGGTAAAGGCACAGCTACAAAGCAAGACCATGCTGGAGGTGGCTGGGTTCAATTCCCGGTCCGGCCTAGGAATTTTTCGGGTTGGAAAATATCTCGACTTCCCTGGGCATAGAAGTATGATTGGACTTGCCACACAATTATACCAATGCAAAAATGGTACAGGCATCGAAAGCTTTAAATTAATAACTGTGGAAGTGCATCTAGACCACTAAATTGAGAGCACGCAATAAGCTAATATACGATATGCAATAAGCTTGAAATGCGAAGAAGAAGAATGATTGTACATTGATTTGATATTTCAATTGATTAGCTTATCGGAATCTTTGTTTAATTGGATATTCTAATTTAATATTTACGTTTTCAACTAGTTTACAGAATACCCCTTGGTGGTGTGTTTTGTAAAATGCGATAACCTACCTAACCACGAGTATAACTTAACTAATCTGATGATCTGATTTCAGACAGATGTCTCTGAATCTTTCCAGGATGAATACTCTCCGTTCTTCTAATGTCTGAATTCCAGCCAGAAGGTTGATCTCAGAATTTCGAGTCCACGGGGGACTGTTTAGTATCATCCTAAAGATCTTGTTCTGAATCCTTTGGAGTTTAAGGTGATGGCATTTTGCTCTCCCAGATTGGCATACCGTACGCGCTTACGAGAAGGATGATTTGCTTGTAGACAGCAAGTTTGTATTTCAGGGACAGAGTGGATGTCCTGTTGATGATCGGATACAGGGATCTCATCAGGATGTTGCATTATGTTTTCGTTTTGTCATCGTGTTCCCTGAAAAGCAGCTTGCTGTCGAGTGTAAGGCCGTGGTAGACTACCTATTTGGACCATTTCACCACTGTGGCGTTCAAGTTAATCTTATTATTCTCAGACGGAACAAGTTTGGACATCCCGACCTCTATGAAGTTCGGCGGTCAGAGCACCGATGACCCTTTTTTTTATAGATGATGGATGTGTAATCTGCGAACAGGGACAACGATCCACCATCAGGGAAAGCCGGCATATTACAGGTGAACACCCAAGTAACCATAGGCACGTTATTTCGCCTTTTTGGCTATATACAGCTGAACAACGGCTATATGTACCAGTGTTTGCAAGTTCTGATGAGGCCCGTATATAGCCAAAAAGGCGAAATAATGTGCCTATGGTTTTTTTTTTGTTTCCTTTGGTTTGTTTTTTTCCGTCGATCTTGTTTTCCGTGCTGAGCACCAATGCTACCGACGTGCCAGGAAGGCAGCTCCCACACCTGGACCCTACCTATCGACCCATCAACTCATGAACCGGGAACCAACGGCTTTACTTCCCTTCCGAAGGAAGGCGTGATCAGAGATGTTATGCCTCAGAACATCCCGGCGGCGCCGACTGGGATTGAACCCAGGCCTGCTGGGGTGAGAGGTAATCACGTTTACCACTACACCACCGGCGTCGTTGTGCCTATGGTTGTAACCAACGGATTTGGTTACATATAAGGATGGGCAGACATTTTGAGGGAGATTATTAAGAAAACAGTGATTGGTGTCGGTAGGTGCGCGTAGGCATCGTCGTCGCAAGTCTAGAGCGACTAAGCGTTCAATTCGTTAATATTTCAAGCTCGCGAGTTGGTGATGTGATCGATAGATCGTGTAGGGTCAGCCGGAGCACTGAAACGCAATAATTCCCGGCTGTTGCCCATAGTAGCAGTGAGTGCCTCTTCCGATCCGATCCTGTGAACGCAGGCCATCCGCTACCAGGGCCGATTTGCCATTTTGTTTGGTCTCGGTGGCCATTGCCCGCCCAACGTGTCAATCACTCGGATTGGGGTCAACCAACCGTCCGAACAACTACCGTCGGAGCTCCCAGGCGCCCGCCAGCCTCATCGAAGCCAGCCCGGCTGCAACCCACGGATCCGGTGAACCAGAACGGCCGCAGCGGTACAGCAAGTAACTGTACTAACCCCAAAACTTTGAAAATAAAATATTAAAATTTAAGGTTAAAAGTCAAAATCTAAGCTGTGTTGTGTTCATTATTTGTTTAAAGAAGCCTGTTGTCCTTTATTGTATCATTAAACTTTAAATTGTGTTGAACTTCGCCCAGTGCCCAAGTGAGTATCAGGAAGAAAGCTCCCCCAAAGAAATTCTCCGGTGGACCACCATAAGGCCCTGATAGCCAGGGCAGCTAGCTGCAAAAGAGGCCTTTGTCGTGCACACCCCAGTCGGTTGCCATGGCTAGACCAGCAACCGGGGGCTTTACCTCCCAGGGGCCCTACACCTCACCATTCCTCTCCAACGGGGGAGTTTGGTAAAGAGAGATGATCAAACCGATTTGTACCTTCATAAAAGTTGTCCTTGCTCGCTTTCTACTCTCTCTATATACAATTTACACACTGCCGTACTCTAACGGAACTATCAACTCTATACTTTCATCTCTTTATCTATCGTATAAAAATTACCACTTTGGTCTAAAGCACTGATTATAAATTGTCAGTTGGTTGAAGAATCTGAAACTCAAGTGTTTGAGTTCCAGATTCATAATTTGGTCGAAACCTGGGGCTTTCATGTTTTAGATGATTTGATATAGGCCAACAGTTCGTCAGCCGTAATTTCGAATTCCACAAGAAAATTGTCGGGATTTGATGGAGGTTGGCTGCACTTTCAGTAACCGCAGTATCGTATGGACTATCGTATGTTCAGTCAGAGATTATGAGAGCTGACGAAGTGTTGACCTATAGCATCAACCTTCTCTTCTCTTCAGGGGTTATCAGACGGACGACTGAATCATTGGGTTGATTGAACTGGACAAGTGGTGGAATGGGCCTTGGCATATTTTTAAGGATTTTTGTTAGTTTATGTGGTAACGGTGTAGATAAGTCGTGATTTCGACCATGCAGAATAATCCCCGAAAGAGTAGGAGATAAAGTGAGAGCGGGACGAACATATGATCAGGACAAGTTGGTCAGGTCTGAGATGTGTATATAATGGGCAGGAGAAATATATATGAGTTAAATCGTTTGTGATTATCAACCGAACAAGTTGTTTGATTTAAGGTACACCGGGGGAAGTGGATACAAGAAAATGCATAGTTCAACTTCAACTTGATGTGCAACTCTTAAAAATGCATCGATTTGTATTCTGTTGATTGTAAAATGAATGTGGAAGTGTTGTGCATAACACAATATAAAAATAAAATCATTAAGATTACTCGCTAGTGCTCACCAAAGATTTAAAAAAATTGACTCGATGGTCCACTTACCCCGGTGCTTCGGTGTAAGTGGAACAGCGATATGTTTGTAATCATAATTGAGAAATAACGATTGTGATTGATATAAAATGCATTCAGAATATCTCAAACACGCTTAAATGACTTATTTCTTATGAAATCATTTATAAGTACGTAATAAAAATTAAAATAAAGGAAGAAGCCCAGTTCTTAAGATTTTTTTTTTAGACTTTATTAACCAGATTTTTAGCCCTTAGTTCTTAGGAAGTACACCGATGAAAATGGAAAAAAAATACAATACAAAGTTCGACTTCTACTTGATGTGCAACCTTCAAAATTGCAATATTTTAGGTTTCTTTACTGTAAAATTAATGTGTGACTGTTACATATAACATACACACAATATCTCATTGATTGCATTAGGGTATGCTCACATATTACGTAACGCAAGAGGGTGTAGCTGTAGAAGGGTATCTGACAACGGGGTATATGTCATGAATTAGCTGATATGAAAAAAAGTGACGAGCGAGTATGGGGAGTATTCAAAATCTCACCTTTCAACGTTAAATAGTTTATGAACAAGCCTTTATACACAAAAAATATGAGATTTTTAAAAGCTGACTTGCTCATGCATTTACATTGACGATATGGGGTAATTGGTTCATCGGGAGTTTGTTATCATTGAGATTGTGGAAGAAATAATATACAATTAGAATTAAAATATCTCCAAACACCTTTATAGACTTTTAGCTAATCAAATTATTTTTCTAGTCGATAAGCAACTTGACAATAAAAAAAATCCTATCCTTAAATCAAATGTTCTTCAAAGGGAGACCGCAATAGTGTGCCGATTATTATTTGAACGTTCCAATACGCTTCTTCGCAGAATCTTTGATAGTCTTCTTTGAGTTTTTCAATGTCTCCAAAGCATCTGATGAGGTGATTACTTCGGCTCCTGCGCAGATCTTTCGTCGTTTTTCTTTCGAGGCTGATGAACTCTGCTTAACATATTCCAATAAAACTTTTTCAAAAGATCCATCAGCTGCAGATGCGTTTTCTACCTGCACACTGGCATGTTGTATGTTTACTTGGCATGTTAATTCGTTCGTAGCAGATGTTGTGGCACGTTGAAGTCAATTAAACTTTTCAAGTGCTCCTGGTTCGTACTTCTCATCAGGAATGACTTTGTCAGAGAAGGGGAAAATCCCTGCTTTCTTGAACCCGCTGATAATGTTCGTCTTATCGAATTGGTTCCACGCTTGAGAAATAAGTGTAGAAAATACTGATTTTGAAGCCTTGACTCCGTAGTTTTTGCGCTGCCAAGCAATTAAGAGTCCGTCATACCTTTGCTTAAGGGATTTGAAAACGGAAAGATCCATGGGTTGAATCAAATGGCTTGTGTGAGGTGGAAGTTTCAATATCACCACTTGCTCTTGCAACGCTTTTTCAATCAGCCTGAGACTGGTGTGGGATGAATGGCCGTCATAGATTAGAACAACGGGTCGTTCT